TAGCCAGTACCAAGCAGTTTTGATGATTACTGCTTTATAATACAATTTAAAATCTGGAATGGCTAGGCCACCTTTCCCTGCATTTCTTTTCATTAGTTCCTTTGATATTCTGGACCTTTTGTTTTCCAAATGAATCTTGTTATTATTTTTTCTAACTCTATAAAATAGTTTGATTGGTATGGCACTGAATAAATAAATTACCTTAGGTAGGATTGTCATTTTTATTATATTAGCTCGGCCTACCCATGAGCAACTGATGTTTTTCCAATTATTTAGATCTGATTTTATTTGTGTGAAAAGTGTTTTGTAATTGTGTTCATAGAGTTCCTGAGTTTGTTTTTGGGAGGTAGACTCCTAAATATTTCATAATGTCTACAGTAAGTTTAAATGGGATTTCTCTTTCTATCTCTTGCTGCTGGGCTCTGTTGGTAATATATAGAAATGCTGATGATTTACATGGGTTTATTTTATAGCCTGCAACTTTGCTAAAGTTGTTTATTATTTCAAGTAGTTTTTTACTGGATTCTCTAGGATTCTCTAAGTATATCATCATGTCATCTGCAAAGAGTGATAGCTTTGTTTCTTCTTTGCCTATTCTAATACCAGGAAGGGTCAAACCTGCATTGTTTTGGAGCAGAACCATCCAAATCTTGCCCAACTATCCACTTGTCCCTGTACAATATTGACAGAATGACGAAAGCTTAAGGTTCACATTTTATTTTATCCCTATTCAGTTTGTTGGGCAGCAAGGTGGAGCAGTAGATATAGTGCTGGGCAAGTCAGGAAGACTCATTTTCATGGTTCAAATCCAGCCTCAGACACTTAACTAATTGTGTGGCCCTGGGCAAGTCACTTCACCCTGTTTGCCTCAGTTTCCTCACCTGTAAAATGAGTTGGAGAAGGAAATGGCAAAGCACCCCAGTATCTTTGCCAAGAAAACCCTAAATGGGGTCACGAAGAGTCGCTTATGACTGAACAACAATAAATTAAGTCCTTATCTGTGCGTCCTTGGACAAGTTGCTTAACCACTCTGGCCTGCAGGGTGCTCCTCTGTATAGTGACAGGGACTGGACAAGGTGATCTCAAAGGTAACCTTCAGCTCCAACATTTCATAAGCCTATAACCCTAACCCTTGCACTCTGTTCAGTCAGCAATTCTCAGTACTAAGAAAACCCTTCCCTGAATGGGGGAGCTCACAGGACCATGAATGTTGATGGAGTTATAGATTGGTCCACTCATATGGAGAGTAATTTGGAATTATGCTGAGAAAGTGACTTTGGTCCAGCGATCCCACTGCTGGGTATATCCATACCCCAAGGACCTCCCTCCATCAAAATATTCCTAGTGGTAGCAAAACAATAACAAAGGGGTGAGGATCAATGAAACAAATGTAAACATCATAGAATATGTGGTTAAAAACAACAACGAATATGCAGAATTCAGAGAAGCATGGGAAGGGTTACATGAATTGATGCTGTGAAGCAAGCAGAGCCAGGAAGACAATAGACACCACGTCTATAACAATGTTGCTGGGCATAACACGGAGAAAGATCTAGAAAAAGCAGCTTTTCTAGAGCCACAGTGGAACCAAGAGAGAAAAGTATTCACAAAATTCCAGAGAGGAAAGAGTGTCGAGGAAGAGAAGGTAGCCAACATTTTCTAATGCTGTAGAGAGGTAAAGAAAGAGAATTGAGAGGAGACTGCTATATTCAATTTGGCAACTGAGAGACAGTTGAGAACCCTGAAGAGAGCAATTTCATTGGGATTATGATTACAAAGGGCTGAGAAGGAGGAGGAGGCACTTCACGTAGATGGTTTTTTCAGCGTGTTTAGTTGAGAAGGGGAGGAGAGATAGAGGGATGATAGGTAGCAGAGGATGCTAGGATCCAGTGAGAGGTTTTTAAGGATGAGGGAGACCTGGATGAGTTTGTAGGAAGAGATCAAGGGAGAGGGTGAAAAAGACTAGAAGGAGGAGATAAGGGTGGAGGCAACCAGATAGAAAAGAAGGGAGGGCAAAGGAGAAGGGCCAGTTCTTTATCCTAGACCACAGTGAAGGAGGTAATGGAGGGATGTGAGATGAGGAGAGAAGGGGGAGCTCTCAGTACATGGCTTTAATTTTTTGGAGGTAGATACTGCAAGATACTCAGAGGAGAGAAGATATACATTTATACGCCACTCCCTGTAGTGGAGAAAGAACCTGAGTCCAAGTCCATAGCAAATCACATAATATCTCAGAGCCTCAGTTTCCTTTTCTGTAACATGAAAGGGTTGGACTCCATGATCCCTAATGTCTCCTTTCCAATTCCAGCCTTCTGTCACTGATTTTGAGTGTATTTCCCTCCAAACAGTACCATCTGTTCACAGGGTTGGGCAGCCCACCTGGGCATCTGCCAGCCTCTGCCTGGGCTCAAATGCCCTCCCTCCTCAGACTTCAGAGAAGCCCCCCCCACGCCCCTTTAGGCTGTTTTTTGCTTTGTTCTAGCCTTGATTGTTTATGGGAGTGACAGGTGCCAGCCCCGGTGCCCTGTGCCAGCAGGAGCACTTCTGTTTTCTCTAGGAGTCAGAGCCACCAACTGGCTTGAAGTCTCTGGAGAGCATGTGGGTCTAGAGCTCTCTCAGTCGGGAGTTATATGAACTGGCCACAGGCCACAGCCAGAGAGAAAAGGGCTGGGCAGGGCAGAGGCCGACAGAGCCAGACAAAACTGGCATCTGCTGGTGCCATCGGTAGTTTGTGGCTGGTTCCCCGAGCTCTGCAGCCCAGGGTCGGAGGACCAGCTGTCCTGGGTTGGCCCCACAAGCTGCCGAGCCTATGTCCCATCTCAAAGGGCATGTGGACTGCCCTTCAGGATACTGCACACACACTTGGCGGAATGTAGAATATGTTGGACCTTCTGACACTCTATCACAACTGGTTTCTTACTAGATAGGTGGGATCTAAGTTATTTATTCTACTTTACAGATGAGGAAACTGAGGCAGACAGAGGTAGAATGACTTTTCCAAGGCCACTCAACTAGTAAGTGTCTGAAGCAGGATTTGAATTCATAGACGGGGTTGAAAGAGGCCTTAGAGACCATATGGGGTATTTCCCCCCAAAGTTTCACTCTTACCAATTGCATCTGCTCTGGATTTGAAAGCCTGGGGGCTTAATGACTTGCCCAGGGCCACAGGACTAATACGAATCAGAGTTAAAACTTGAACCCAAGTCTTCTGGACTACTATGCCCCTCCCCCTCCTCAGAGAGTTGTAGGACCAGAGACTTGGAGCTGAAGGGGACCTCAGATGGCATCAGACCCAACCCTCTTATTTGGCAGACAAGGAAACTGGGAAAAGTGACTCCCTAAAGTTAGAGGAGCAGAGATTCGAGCACAAAACCTCCGACTCTTCCCACTGGACTAGGCTGCTTCAGATGACCTAGTCTGAACCCCTCCACTTTACAGAGGGTGGAATTGAAGCCCCCAGAGGTCAGTCAGCTTACTACCTTCATGACTGACTTGGCCTTCTCTTGGACCTCAGTTTCCTCATCTGTAAAATGAAAGACTTATGCTCCATAACCTCTAAAGTAACTTTCAACTCTTAAATGGGCCTAGGGGACTTGCCTGGGCCTCACCCAAGATGGCAAGTGGCAGAACCTCCCCCAGACTCAAACCTAGGCCTACAACTTCGAATTACGTGTTCTATCCACTGTCCCACACTGCTTCAGATTAACTAGAAGAAGACTAGCTATGGATTACTAAAGAGCATCGAGCAGGGATTCTTAGCCTTTTCTGGATCATGGTCTCCTTTTGGTGGCCCAGGGGAGCTGATGGATCCCTCTGGTGGTCTGGGGTGGGGTCTATGATGCCCCTTGGGCGGGGAGCCTATGATCCCCCTTTGGTGGTCTGGGAGAGCCGATGGTCCCCTTCTCAGAATAATTATCTTAAATGTATGGGATTACAAAGGAAACCAATTATGCTGAAATACAGTTATCTGCATATACATATTTTTGAAGTTCATAGACGTCCAGATTCAGAACCCCTGACACTTTAGATGATACATGAGGTAAATCTCTATATACTGAATCCTATTTTCCCTTTAATTTCAGTATAAAATTGAAGATATGTTCACTTGAGGTAAATTAACTGGCCTAATTGTGCTGCTTGGGAATGAAAAAAGATACATTTAAAATGATGTATTTAAGGGGAGGCATGAATTCTCTGGTTAAATAACAATAACCCAAACATGTCTCCAAATATCAATGCAATTATTAGTGTTGTTTGTATGTTTGGACCACTGGCTAGAATGACAACCACAAAGGAGAACGAGGCCACTGGCCAGAGGACACAGAGTTGAGAATGCCCCCCCAAGTCCCCTCCCCCAGCCCCCTCCTCAGCCCCCTTCAAACTCAACAATTCCAGCTTTCTCAACCCCCATCCCCAATATCCTTTGGCAGGAGGCCAGGCAGGCTAGCTATCTTTGGGTGTTCCGACACTGTTTCCTAGCACCCTGGTGGAAGCTGCTGGCTTTTTAGAAACGAACAGGTTGCTCTGGGCTGAAGTGGGTAGGAGAGGCAGAACCATGGTACAGACAAAAATTTAGAATTCGGCAGGAAACCAGCCTAGAGGCCAGGGAAGGGAGTCCTGGGGCCTGAGGAGGTGAGGGGAGGAAGGGAATCATCAAAAAAGAGAAAGACTGAAGGCATGTCAGAGAAGAGGTCAGCAGTCCCCGGCAGAGTTTTAGAATGTTTTATTAAGCAGATAGCTTAGGGGCACCCCAGAGACAGACAGGGATTACCAGGAGCCAGCACAGGTTCACTACAAACACGTTATACCAGACTAGCCTCCCTTTTGGATAGGGTTACTAGATGGTAGACAAATTAACAGGGGAATAGCACGTCCAGATATCAGCAAGGCAGTTAACAAAGGGTTTCATAATATTCATGGTATAGTAGGGGGGGAAAAAGCAATGCATTTGGAGTCACAGGTCTTAGGTTCAAATGTCAATTCTATGGCTTATTTACTAGCTGTGTGAGGTTGGGCAAGTCACCAAATCTATGGTGCTACGATCTCTGTGGACAGGATGGCGAGATGGGAGCAAGATGATCGTACAGTTAGCTGGATCTGAGGGAACTCTGGATTCTTAAAGGTAACATAAGTAACCTCCTCAAGTTCTGCACTTGCGGAGTGTGTGTGTGTGTGTGTGTGTGTGTGTGTGTGTGTGTGTGTGTGTGTGTGTGCACAGGCACAAGAACACACCACACATTACACTCTTGCTCATAGTCTGACAGTTGGCCACTGGAAACTGCCTTTTCTCAAACACAGCAAGTAAAGATCATGAAGGTTGTAAAGGTCATCCTTTACAACCTAGAGGGACTGCAATCTGTATCGGTGAAAGGAGTATGCACACTGTGAAAAATCACCCATTCTTGAAATACTGAAGACTAGGAAAGGAAACTGAGGCCCAGAGAGGTGAAATCACTTACCTTTTAATGGCATCCCTCTTTCCATCTACACTTCTTGCGAAAAGATCATTCTCTTCAATAAAATAACAGGCCAAGTGCCACCTTGTCCGTGAGACCTTTCCTGATTAACATAGTCTATTCATCCCTCATTTGATTAGCAGGGAAACCAAGGCTCCAGGAGGTGCTTCCAAAGTCACACCAGCAGCGGTTGTGCTGGAATTTGTACCTAGGTCCCCCGGCAGCAAAGCCTGTGCTTTTACCAATCAGGTAGCACCAGGCTTTCCCAAGCCCTCTTCATTCCAGGGCTTTCCCTCTGCCCCTTATTTCCTGTTTATCGTGTACACAGCTTGTTTGCACAGATTTGTTTGCTTGCTGTCCCCTCCATCAGATTGCAAGTCCCAGAGGGCAGGGACTGTCTCTTGCCTTTCTTTGCATCCCCAGCACTCAGCATTGTGCCTGGCATATAACAGATGCTTAATAAATGTTTATTGACTATTAACTGACTGACTGACCATCTAGCTGAGTGACTGAGTTTGAGAGAAGAAACGGACTCCTGATGAGGGTGAAGAAAACAGTGAGGGTTATTTCTGATGCTTGGGTAGAAGGCAAAGACGAGGAGGCTCTGAATTTGGCCTAGATTCCTTCATGTCCTCTGCTGTCCAGCCAAACTGACCAACTTGTTCTCCATCACACAGGGCCTTTGCATTGGCTGCGTCCCATGCCTGGAAAGCGCTCCCTCCTCATCCTCTTAGAAGCTCCAACTTCCTGCAAAGCTCAGCTCTGCCACCTTCTACAGTAAGCTTTACCAAGTCTCCCCACTGCTAGGGTCTAAAAACAAAAATTACCTTGTTCTAATTTGTTTGCAAACATGTTGTCTTCTGATAGAATGTAAGCTTCTCAAGAGCTGGGACTGTTTCCTTTTTGGCCTTATAGTCCTAGGACCTAACACAGCACGTGGCACATAACAGGCACTTAATAAATGTTGGATTAAAACTAGAGAGTTTCAGCGTGGGTGAGCTAACATTATATCCTGATGTGCTAACATTCTACGCTATGTGGAATGGGCTGCTTCTCGAGCTGGTGGGCTTCTCCCACTGCAGTCCCTTTCAGCTCTAGGGCTGTAATCCTGTGACCCTGTAACCTGACTATACCCACACCACCATACCTTGGACTATTGTTATTCTTGTTGTTTTGATCATTTTTCAGTCGTGTCTGACTCTTCCTGACCCCATTTGAGGTTTTCTTGGCAAAGATAATGGATAGCATTTCCTTTGCCAGCTCATTTTACAGATGAGGAAACTGAGGCAAACAGGGTGAAGTGACTTGCCCAGGGTCACACAGCTAGTAAGCATCTGAGGCCGGATTTAAACTCAGGTTTTCCTCACTCTAATGGCTCTCTATCTATTGTGCCACCTAGCTGCCCTAACCTTGGACAGTGCTGGTCCTAATAGATATTCAACAGCTCCCAATGTGCTGGCTGTTTGATAAGAATGTATGCAACTCCAACATGCTCGACATGCCTGGTCAGTACTAGATGTCAATCATCTAGTCCCAAAGGGGACACCTAAGCTCTAATACTAGCAGGAAGTAGAAAGGACCCTAGCAGCTTCTTCCTTGCTACAGAACAGAAACATGGGTGCTTCCCGGACCTGATCTCAGACTATAACCCTCTGATATGAGGACAGCCCTCTCCACAGGCTGCCAGCACCTGATCTGGCCATTTCTGACTTCTGCCTTGAATCCTTCCAACGCGACCAGCAAGATCCCTCTAGCCAGGGCACTCTGGGCTTCTTGGCATGTTCAAGACCAAATCCAAATTGACAGTCTGAGGGCAGTTCACAAACTCACGTAACAGGACAGTAGAAGCAAGATCACCTCCTCTCAGGTGGGGGATTTCCTGCTTCCCATGATCCTGAAACCATCACAAGTGGGAAACTGCAAAGGTTCTCAAGGCAGAGTGACCTGAGGCCAGCTGCTAGACTCAGATCCCCAGTGACGGAGGCACCCCTTCTGGGACTTCTTGTGTACTGCCTTCAGCAGGACTCCCAGCTGATGTGGGGGGAGGGTTCCCAGCCCCTGCAGCCAGCCAGCTCGAGGGATGTTTAGTTTTGTATCAGTGGGTGTGGCTTTAGCCCAGTGTATGTGTCTTGAGGACTGTCAAATGGCGGTAAAATGAGTGGGGGTGGGCAGCCAGGTGGCAAAGTGGACGAAGCGCTGGGCCTGGAGTCGGGAAGACTCATCTATCTCCCTGAGTTCAAATCTGGCCTCAGACACTTGCTAGCTGTGTTACCCTGGGCAAGTCACTTCACCCTGTGTGCCTCAGTTTCCTTATCTGTAAAACAAGCTGGAGAAGGAAATGGCCAACTAGTATCTTTGCCAAGAAAACACCAAATGGGGTCACAAAGAGTGGGACCTGACTGAAAAAAAAAAACAACAGAACAACAAAATAAGCTGGGGGTGGGAATGTGGAGAGCTTCCCTATTGTCAGTCGTGACACTCATTACAGAGATCACAGCACCGAGCGTCCCCATTTGGGGAAGGGGACAGTTTTCTATCCTTTCCTCCCTCTTAGCACAGATATCCATCATCCGCAGCGGATAGAACATTGGGCCTGGAGTCAGGAAGACCTGAATTCAAATCCAGCCTCAGATACTTACTAGCTATGGTGCTCTGGGCAAGTCACTTAACCACCGACTGCCTCAGTTTTCTCACCTATAAAATGGGGATAATAATAATAGCACTTACCTCCCAGGGTTATTGTATGAATCAAGTGAGATCCTATTTATCAAGCACTTAGCATAGCACCTGGTACACTGTAGGTGCCTAATAAATGCTTGTGCCCTTCCTTCCTAAACCCAGGTCACTCAACTCCTAATTCATTATCCTTTCTCTTGCACCATGCTGCCCTTCCAGGCACAGGAAACAGCGCAAGCAAAGGCCTGGAGATGAGTCAGCATATATCATGTGTACTGGGGTGGGGTGGGGAACAGAGTTGTCCGGTTTGGCTAGGGGGGCAGTTCACAGAGGACAGCAACATCGTTGTCAGACCTACACACTCTGGTGGGTGTTTGGTGGGAGTGTGAGCATTACAAATTCCAGATGGAGTCCCTCATGTCAAGAGTTCTTCATGGAAGCTGGGACAAGATAGAATGGGGAAAAACTGGAGGTGCTGGGGGGACTCACTGTGGCCTGGCATAGCACCAGGCTTCTGGGCTGCCACGTGACACTACTGATTCCTTGCAGGACACCTAAGCTCCCATTGGCCCTGCAACTGGTCTGCACCATACTCCAGGGCTAGAGCGTCCCTGAGAAGGGAGGCAAGGGTTCTGCTTTCCAGATGGAGACACTGAGGCACAGCAGGGCTAAAAGGTTTTGCCTTTGGTCATACAGTGAAGTTGAGGCCCAACAAAGAATAGCATTAAGGGAGGATGGAAGGGGGCTGAGGCCACTCCCCCTCAGCTACTTTCTCCTCCTCCAGTCTCCAGTGGGTGGGCAGGTAGGAAAGGAGGAAGCAGGGATGAGGTGAGAGATTTCAAAAGGAGAGAGGGAAAGAGTCTTGGCAAACGAAGGAGAGAAGGGCAGCCTCTGAAATTCAATGAGAGCCGGAGACAGACAGACAAATGTGCAGAACATATGCAAGGGAGGGGCCCCATCGGATCCCAGGGAGAAAAGTGGGGACTCTATGGAAACCCCTTCGAGCCTCCAGCAGTTCATCTTTTCAGAGCTAACCAGAGCCTGGGAGGCAGTGAGCGAGTCCTCCATTCTTCTCCATTTGTGCTCCTCCCCCCAGACCTGGGCATCTGAGTATGTGCCCCTGCCCCTCAAGGGTCCTGAGGCCTTAGGGCCCTCAGTGGCGACAGCAGCCTTCAGGAAGAAACGACCTCTTTCTTGGGAGCCAGGAGCCTTGGGTTCAAATCGCACTCCTGCCACTTGTGACCCTGAGCAAGTATCTTCCCCTCTCTGGGCCTCAGTTTTCTTTCCTGTCAAATTATAGGGTTGAACTCTAAGATGCTTGGGGCTTAGTTCTATGATTCTCTTAAGAAAAGCCAGGGCCTCCAGGTCTGGAGGGAGAGCAGATGAAGGGCTAGACACCTGGGTTCTCCTCCTGGCCCCACAGCTAACTATGCTGAGTGTCCCTCCTGGAGCCCAGGGCCTTTTTCTCCCTTCTCACAGGCTCATAGCTTTATGTCTGGAAGGGACCCTACAGGTCATGTGGTCCAAGCCACCCATCTCACAAAGGACGGAATGAACAAGTCGTGGGACATGATTGTAATGGAGTACGACTGAGCTGTAAGAAATGAGCTCGGTGGTTTTAGAAAAACATGGAAAGACGTGTGAAATAATGAAGTGAAATGAACAGAACCAAGAGAACATTGTGCACAGTAACAGCAGTATTGCTCTGAAAACAACTTTGAGCAACCGAGTCATTTTGATTATTACAAATACTCAAAGCAACTATAAAAGACCTATGAAGGAAGATAGTATCCGCCTCCAGAGAAAGAACTGATAAACAGAAGCCTGTATAACATGGTTTTACATATAGTGTGTGTGTGTGTGTGTGTGTGTGTGTGTGTGTGTGTGTGTGTGTGTGTGTGAGTGAGTGATCTGGCCTCAGACACTAGCTATAGGATCCTGGGCAAGTCACTTCACCCTGTTTGCCTCAGTTTCCTCATTTGCAAAATGAGCTAGAGAAGAAATGGAAAACCACTCCAGTGTCTCTGCCAAGAAAACCCCAAAGGGGGTCACAGAGAGTCCAACAAGATGGATAAATGACTCCCCTGTAGCATCTGCTGCCTTGTATCGTCCCCACCCCAACCCTCCCCATCCTCATACACGTGGGCACGAGATGAAAATAAAGACAGCTGTGAAAATCCACACAGGATGGCCTAGAGAAAGGATGGTGAAAGGAACCTCCTTTATTTGAAGAGGTAGAGGACTGCAGGTGTAGAAAACACCCTACACTACCAGATGTGAACGTCAGGTCATGGTGCGTGTGTAGGAGGGGGAGCTGGTAATTTGGAAATGACTCTAATGGGTTATTAATGTACTATAATGAATTACAAGGCATTATGTTACATTAACTTAAATGTAAGGTGGGTGGGGGACCAGGGGCTCACTGATTGTGACGAGAACAGTAAAGATAACAGAGATAGGGACTGGGCCAGTGGTTTCATTGGTATAGCCCTCCCAGGTGAGGAAACTCTCTCTGCAAGGTTGGCATCATCTCTGTCTTAAGGACGTCCCCAGAGCAGGAAGAAGTTAAGTGACTGCCTAGGGTCACAAGGCCAGTATGTGTCAGGGGCAGGATGTGAACACAGGCTTTTGTCAGCTCTCTATCCATTACACCATGCTGCCTTTCAATACAGCTCAGGGATCTTCAGAGGCTCCTTCTCTCCTTCCCAGCTCCCCACTCCTGGGCTTGAAGGCTGGTGTTGAGCAGATGACTTACGATGGCTTAGACTACACCAGGAGAAGCTTACTGTTTAATAATAATGGCTGGTGTGGACATAGCACTTAAAGGTTTGTAAAACACTTCCTATTCTATCTCATTTGATCCTCACAACAATTACCCCCATTTTGCAGATGAGGAAACTGAGGCTGAGCAGTTTAGTGACTTGCCTAGGGTCACACAGCTTATAAGTGTCTGAGGCAGAATTCAAACTCAATTCTGCCTGATTCCACGTCCAGAGCTCTATCAGACAGAACTCTAGGTCAAACCTTGACATAAAAAAGGAAAAAAATTCAGAGTCTCACTGCCTTAGATCCTAGAAGCAACAAATTGTGGGGGGGGTGAGTCAGAGGAGAGGGATCACAAAGAAATCTGAGTGTGGCATCCCCCTGAGGTCAGGACGCTAATTCAAACAGAAAAGCCCCTGCTCCCTTCAGAGGCCACCAAATGGAATCTGTGGCTCAGTGTCCCCCATTGAGTTAGAGTCAGAGGCATCATCAGTGGAACCCAGGATCTTGGCTGCTTGGCCAGTGGTCCTGCCCCTCGGCC